AATATTTTTTTTTTAGTTTTGTGATGTTTTGTTTTTTGTTTTGTTTTGTGGTGGTTTGGTTAGTGGTGTTTGTAGTGTTATTTTATAGTTATTGGTATCCGTATGTTTCGTATTGTTATTGTTTTGTTGTAGTTTTTATTATTATTGATATTTTTGTTTTTATTATTGTAATTACTATTATTTTTATGATCATTAGTATTATCATTCGTGTTATTTTCGTTATTGTTATTATCATATCATTATTATGATCATTATTATCATCATTGTTATTGTTATTATTATCACCATTGTTATTGTTATTATTATCAATATTATCGTTTTGTTATTATTGTTATTGTTATAATAATAATAGTAATACCAAAACTTATTATTGTTATTATTGTTATTGTTATCATAATACTACTACCACTACCACTACTACTATTACTATAACTAATTGTACTACTTGTCATCATCATTGACTTCATCCTCATTATCATTATGTTGCAATCATTATTGTTTGTTTTTAAACGTTTTTTTAGCATATATTTTGCAAATTTTGGTCACTAGTTAAATGTCTCTTTCATTCTCTGTCTGCCTGTTAATCTGTATGACTGTCTGTCTCTATTTTGCTCTCTCTCTATCTCTCTTCCCTTTTCTCTTTCTTCCTCCCTCCCTCTCTCTTTCTCTGTTCTCCTCCCTCTCTCTCTTGCTCTGTTCCTCCCTCCCTCTCTCTGTTCATCCCCCCTCCTTCCTCTTCACACTCTCTTCTTCTCTCTCTCCTCTCCCTCTCTCTCTCCTCCCTCCCCTTCACACTCTCTTTCCTCCCCCCCTCTCTCTCTCCTTCCTCCCCTTCACACTCTTCTTTCTCCTCCCCCCCATCTCTCTCTCTTCTCCCTCCCCTTCACACTCTCTTCTTCTCTCCCCCTCCCTCCCTATCTCTCTCTTCCTCCCTCCCCCTTCACACTCTCTTTTCTCTTCTCTCCTCCCCTTCACACTCTCTTCTTCTCTCTCTCTCTTCACACTCTCTTCTTCTCCCCCCCCCCCCTCTCTCTCTCTCACCCCACACCCATTAACCAACCAACCAACCTACCAAACCTACTAACCCCTCCCCCCCCCCCCCTTCCCCCCACCCTACCCCTCCCCAGGCGGCGCAGGTGAGCTTCTCCAAGACCTTAGTCACCGTCTTGGAGAAGAAGGAGGAGAAGAAGAAACGCCGGACCTTCCGCCAAGAGGTCACGGCGAAGGCTAAAGGTCAAGGGGGCCTCGTGACCTCCGCCATCGCCGTTCCTGACCTCTCGAACCTTCTGACGGCAGCCAAGGTCATGGAGAGGATGAGTTGCCAGATGCTCGGGGATGAGATTTGTCAAGGTAGGTCAGTTCTGACTTTTTGTTGTTGTTATTGTTATTATTATTATTGTTATTATTATTATTATTATTTATATATTATTATTTTATAATTATTATTATTATTATTATTATTATTATTTATTATCATCATCATTATTATTATTGTTATTATTATTTTATTATCATATTATTATTATTGTTATTATTATTTTATTATTTTAATTATTATTATCATTATTTTATCATTTTATTATATTATTATTATTATTATTATTATTATATTATTATTATTATTATTATCATTATATATTATTATCATATGATTTTTTTTGTGTATATGGATTAGTTCTATTAAGATTTGATATTTTGGTCCCTTTTTATTCCTGATATTGATTCGTTTTTAAAGTTACAACAAACAAACAAACAAACAAACACACTAACGAAACGAAACAAACAATGACATACATTATATAACAATTAAATTATTATAACAATGACAAATACATACATACACTGATTCGATTTAGTTCCAAACAAACAAACCTTAAACAACCTAAAAAAAAAAAAAACAGACATACATTGAGCCGATTTAGTAAAAAACTTAAAAAAAAAAAAAAAAAAAAAAAAAAAAAAAAAAAAAAAAAAAATTCCGGTCCATCCTCCCACCCACCCATCCATCCTTCCATCCTTCCTTCCATCCTTCTCCAGATTACAAGTACTGGGACGACGACAGCGACGAGTACCGCCCTCTCGAAGGATCCTTGCTTCCGCTGTGGAAATTTTGGTGCAAGAATTCCCGTTATTACACCGTGATGGACCTCTGCTGGCCCGTCCAGCGACCTGATAGCGGTGGCGTACAGTGCCGGTGAGTGATGGGTAGTGATGGGGGGATGGGGTAGTGATGGTGGGGTAGTACTGGGGTGTGAAGGGGTGTTGTGGGGTAGTGATGGGGTAGTGATGGGGTGGTGATGGTGGGATAGTGATGGGGTGCTGGTGGGGTAGTGATGGGGTCTTGGTGGGGTGCTGGTGGGGTGGTGCTGTGTAGTGATGGGGTAGTGATGGGGGTAGTGATGGGTGTGCTGTGGTGTTGGTGGGGTGCTGGTGGGTGTTTGGTGTGGGGTAGTGTGGTGGGGTAGTGATGGGGTAGTGTTGGGGTGTTGGTGGCGTTGGGTGAGTGATGGGGTAGTGATGGGGTGTGTGGTGGGGTAGTGATGGTGGGGTAGTGATGGTGGGGTAGTGGGTGTGATGGGGTGTTGGTGGGGTAGTGATGGGGTGCTGGTGGGGTAGTGATGGGGGTAGTGGGTGAGTGATGGGGTAGTGTGGGGTAGTGTGGGGTAGTGCTGTGGTGCTGGGATAGTGATGGGGTAGTGCTGTGGTGCTGGTTGGTAAGTGATGGGGTGCTGGTGGGTGCTTGGTGGGGTAGTGATGGGGTGATGTGATGGGTGCTGGTGCGGGGAGTGATGGGGTGCTGGTGGGGTGCTGGGTGGGGTAGTGATGGGGTAGTGATGGGGTGCTGGTGGTGTGGGTGGGTGTGATGGGGTAGTGATGGGGTGTGGGGGGTGTGGTGGGGTAGTGATGGGGTAGGGATGGGGTAGTGATGGGTGGGTAGTGGGGTGGTGATGGGGGGTGTTGTGGGGTGGTGCTGGGTAGTGATGGGGTAGTGACTGCTGGTGGGTAGTGCTGGGGTAGTGATGTGGGGTAGTGATGGGGTGATGGGGTAGTGATGGGGTGTTGGTGGGGTGCTGGTGGGGTAGTGCTGGGGTAGTGATGGTGGGGTAGTGATGGGGTGTGATGTGGTGGTGATGGGTAGTGATGGGGTGTTGGTGGGTAAGTGCTGTGGTGCTGGTGGGGTAGTGCTGGGTATTGATGGTGGCGTAGTGATGAGGGTAGTGATGGGGGTAGTGCTGGGGTCTGGTGGGGTGTGATGGTGGGTAGTGATGGTGGTGGTGCTGTGGTGCTGTTGTGGTAGTGCTGGGTGCTGGTGGTGGGTGAGGTAAGTGCTGGAAAGTATTTTTAGTTTTATTATTTACTTCATGACTGTATCTTCGGTAGGAAATGATTGGTGGAAGTGAGGGAGAGAGAGAGGGAGGGAGAGGGAGGGAGAGGGAGGGAGAGGAGAGAGAGGGAGAGAGAGAGAGAGAGGAGAGAGAGAGAGAGAGAGAGAGAGAGAGAGAGAGAGAGAGAGAGAGAGAGAGAGAGAGAGAGAGAGAGAGAGAGAGAGAGAGGGAGAGACGAGAAACAGAAGGGGGAGACAAAGAACAGGGAGAGACCTAACAAACTGAACACAATCTCTAATATTCAGATAAGACATTGTCTCTAGTAATCCAGACCATAATCTCTAATATTCCAGACCAGTCTTAATCATAATCTCTGATATTCCAGTCCATACGACCAACAAACAATAGAATCTTCAATATTCCAGACCTGTCAAAGTCCGTAGCTTAATATAAACATAATCTTTAATACCTACAAACATAATCTTCACCATTCCAGACCTTTCGTAACCATAATCTCTAATATTCCAGACCATAAGACCAACAGACAATATAATCTTCAATTTCCAGACCATAGGACCTACAAACAATATAATCTCTAATATTCCAGACCATAAGACCAACACATAATCTTCACCATTCCAGACCTTTCATAACCATAATCTCTATATCCAGACACAAGACCAACAGACATAATCTTCAATATTCCAGACCTGTCAAAACCCGTAGCTTAATATAAACATAATCTTTAATACCTACAAACATAATCTTCACCATTCCAGACCTTTCGTAACCATAATCTCTAATATTCCAGACCATAAGACCAACAGACAATATAATCTTCACCATTCCAGACCATAAGACCAACACACATAATCTTCACCATTCCAGACCATAAGACCAACAAACAATATAATCCTCACTATTCTAGACCATAAGACCAACAGACAATATAATCTTCAATATGCCAGACCATAAATCTTCACCATTCCAGACCATAAGACCAACACACATAATCTTCAATATGCCAGACCATAAGACCAACAGGCAATATAACCTTCACCATTCCAGACCATAAGACCAACAAACAGTATAATCACTATTCCAGACCTTTCGCAACCATAATCTCTAATATTACAGACCATAAGACCAACAAACTGAACATAGTCTCTAGTAATCCAGACCATAATCTCTAATATTCCAGACCACAAGACCAACACATATAATCTTCACCATTCCAGACCACAAGACAATATAATCTTCACCATTCCAGACCTGTCAAAGTCCGTAGCTTAATATAAACATAATCTTTAATACCTACAAACACAATCTTCACCATTCCAGACCATAAGACCAACACACATAATCTTCACCATTCCAGACCATAAGACCAACGCACATAATCTTCACCATTCCAGACCATAAGACCAACAGACCTTCAATATCCAGACCATAAGACCAACCACATAATCTTCAACCATTCCAGACCATAAGACCAACGCACATACACCATTTCCAGAAACCATAATCCCCAGACCATAAGACCAACAGACAATATAATCTTCACCATTCCAGACCACAAGACCAACAAACATATAATCTTTATGCCAGACCATAAGACCAACACACATAATCTTGACCATTCCAGACCTGTCAAAACCCGTGGCGAGTGAGGGAATGGTGTGTCTCTTTTCGATCAAGAATTCCAGAGTTCCTGAGAAGAAATTCATGACAGACAGCGGGGTTACTTGTGTTCATTTTCATCCAACGGTAAGCTCTATTTCGTTTTTTATTCTTTTTTTTTCTTTTCCTTCTCTTCGTTTTTGAGATTTCTTTCCACTTCTGTGTTTTTTTTTCTTTTTTCTTTTTAATTTGTTCTTTTTTTCTTTTTTTTAGATTTGTTTCCTTCTTTTTTTCCATGTTCTTTTTCTTTTTCTTTTTCTTCTCCTCCTCTTTCTTCGTCCTCTTCTTGTTCGCCTCTTTCTTCTGTTTGTCATATTCTTTTGTATTCTTGTCTATGTCCGGTTCTTCGTGTCATACATCCGTAAACCTATATCTTTTCACATTCAGATGTTTTTTTTTTTTGTATTCATAGCCAAAGGAAGGAAAATTGTTTTCTTTCTGCCTCTCTCTCTCTCCACATTTCTCTCTCTCTTCCCCCCTCTCCCTCTCGTTCGTTCTCACTATCTTCCCCTTCTTTCTCTATAAGACACACACACACAGACATACACACACACACACACACACACACTCACACACACACACACACACACACACACACACACACACACACACACTCACACACACACTCACACACACACACACACACACACACAACACACACTCACACACACACACACACACACACACACACACACACTCACACTCACACTCACACATACTCACACACACACACACACCACACACTCACACACACACACACACACACACTACACATCACACACACACACACACCAAAACACACATTATCCTTCGAAAAAAAAACTAATTATGTATTTAAACAACCCCAATTCTTTTCCTTCTTTCCATCGTGTTTTGCTTTCTTTTCTTACAATCAACCTACTTCACTAAGAAAAAAAAATAGACACAATCAAGCCTTTCATTCTCCTTAACGAAGCACACAATAGCCACGTGACAGACAAACAAATATTTACCCGGGATAAACACTCTCTTATAATTCAGAACAAACAACCCTTAACTAAACAAGCCATAGAAGATACTATGACTTGAAACGATCGATTATCCTTTAAAACGAGACATGAAATTATCGGCCGGTTTGTTTGTTTGTTGTTTGTTTGTTTGCGCGACCCAAGTGACATTCCTTACACGGACATATACATACATAGAAATAAATGGATATCTATCAGTCTAGACATGCATATCTACCGTACAGCTACAAAAATAGATGTATATTTATTTGATAGATCGATAGATATTCATTTCTTTGTATATGTCTGTTTATCGAAAATAAAATGTATATTTATTTGATAGATCGATAAATTATTCATTTCTTTGTATATGTCTGTTTATACGAATAAAATAAATGTATATTTATTTGATAGATCGATAGATATTATTCATTTCTTTGTATATGTCTGTTTATACGAATGAAAATAAATGTATATTTATTTGATAGATCGATAGATATTGTTCATTTCTTTGTATATGTCTGTTTATACGAATAAAAATAAACGTATATTTATTTGATAGATCGATAGATAATTCATTTCTTTGTATATGTCTGTTTATACGAATAAAAAAATAAATGTATATTTATTTGATAGATCGATAGATATTATTCATTTCTTTGTATATGTCTGTTTATACGAATAAAAATAATCGATAGATATTATTCATATATACGAATCTTGATAGATCGATAGATTGCATTGTATATGTCTGTTTATACGAATAAAAAAAATAAATATATTTATTTGATAGATCGATAGATATGCATTCATTTCTTTGTATATGTCTGTTTATACGAATAAAGATAAATGTATATTTATTTGAATAGATCGATAGATATTATTCATTTTTGTATAGAATAATAAATGTATATGATAGATCGATAGATATTATTCATTTCTTTGTATATGTCTGTTTATACGAATAAAAAATAAATGTATATTTATTTGATAGATCGATAGATATTATTCATTTCTTTGTATATGTCTGTTTATACGAATAAAAATAAATGTATATTATTTGATAGATCGATAGATATTATTAATTTTTTGTAATGTCTGTTTATACGAATAAAAATAAATGTATATTTATTTGATAGATCGATAGATATGCATTCATTTCTTTGTACATGTCTGTTTATACGAATATTTGTCGGGTCGGGCCTGGTAACAATTTTAACAAACCGGACGTATATCTTGACTGCACAGGGCGAGGACTTCTTGGCCGCTGGAACGAAGGACGGGAGTGTCTTGGTGTTCCGGCTGCAGAAGAAGGCGGGGTCGGCTGCGTCAAGCACTGCCTCTCCGATCTCTGGGAAGCATCTGCTTGCTGTGACGCAGGTAAGGTGTCTGTGTCTGCTGTGAATTCAAGATACATGTATGTGTGTGTGTGTGTATATATGTATATGTATATATATATATATATATATATATATATATATATATATATATATATATATATATATATTTTATTTTCATTTTTTTATTTTTGTTTTGTGTGTGTGTGTGTGTGTGTGTGTGTGTGTGTGTGTGTGTTGTGTGTGTGTGTGTGTGTGTGTTGTGTGTGTGTGTGTTGTGTGTGTGTGTGTGTGTGTGTGTGTGTGTATATATGTATATGTACATTTTTATATATGTATATATATAGACACACGCACACACACACACATATATAGGTATATATAGACAAACATAATATACATAAATAGATAGATACAAATACAGTTATAAGTATAGCTATATAAATAAATATGAACAGATCACCAACTTGCATCACATCCCCAAAAACTTACTCCTTTTATTTCATCTTTAGAAAAAAAAAAAAAAAAAAAAAAAATTGTCTTTCCTTCCCTCCCATCAACCGAGGAGGCTCAAATGTGGGTATTCGAAGCCTCGACGACCACAACGACCTCTCGCAAACCAATCCACATATCCACTCATTCACAACCATACATTCACTCATTCACAACCACACATTCACTCATTCACAACCACACATTCACTCATTCACAACCACACATTCACATTCACAATCATACATTCACTCATTCACAACCACACATTCACTCATCCACAACCACACATTCACTCATTACAACCACAATTCCACAACCACACATTCCCTCATCCACAACCATACACATTCACACTTCACTCATCCAAACCACACCTCCACTCATCCACACCACATCACCCTCATCCACACACATTCCCTCATCCACACCACACATCCAATCCACAACCACACATCACTCACTCACAACCAACACATATCCAACCCCTTTTTTCTCTCTCGCAGGTGAAATGGATACAAACTGACGAAGGAATAGGTCCAAGTTTCTTTTCCATCGCCCAAGACGGGAGAGTGTGTCTGTGGTCTGTCAGCAGCGCCGGTCTCAGCCACATAAACGTCTTGGAATTTCCTCTAAACGGCCAAGCTAGAGAGGTGGATGTTCTGGATGATAAACTACGGAGAGGTGAGTGTTATGGAGGGGGAGGGAGGTGGGGTTGTGGGTTTGTGGGTGAGGGGATTGTGGAGTTTTGGTGAGGGGATTGTGGGGTTGTGGGTGAGGGGATTGTGGGGTTGTGGGTGAGGGGATTTGTGGTTTGTGGGTGAGGGGATGGGTGGTTGTGGGTGAGGGATGGGGGGTTGTTGGTGAGGGATGTGGGTTGTGGTGAGGGGATGTGTGGGGTTTGTGGGTGAGGGGATTGTGGGTTGTGGTGAGGGGATTGTGGTTGTGGGTGAGGGGATTGGGTGGTTTTGGGTGAGGGGATGTGGTTGTTGGTGAGGGGATGGGTGGTTGTGGTGAGGGGATGTTGTTGGTGGTTGTTGGGTGAGGGGATGTGGGTTGTGGGTGGGGATGTGGGGTTGTGGATGGGGGATGTGTGGGTTGTGGGTGAGGGGATGTGGATGGGTGGATGTGGGTTGTGGGTGAGGGATTGTGGGGTTGTTGTGAGGGGATGTGGGGTTTGTGGATGGGTGTGTGGGGTTGTGGTTGAGTGGATGTGTGGTTTTGAATGAGTGGATTTGTGTTGTGGATGAGTGGATGTGTGGTTGTGGGTGAGGGGATGTGGGGTTGTGGGTGGTGGATTGTGTGGTTGTGAATGTGTGGGTTGAGATTGAAAATGGCAAATAAAATAATGGATAAAAATCTTGTGGATATATTTAACTAATAGGTATTTTAAGTTAAGAAAAAGAAAAAAAAAACAGATTTCTTTCGCGAAACAACAACAAAAATTAATTTAGCAAGGTACGTACGATTTTATATATAACTCTAGATATTCGTACATAAAACAAAATCCTGAAAGACAACTAATATATCACATAGCAAATATAGAAACAAATATATAAGCGGCTTATTAAGTTACGTGACAATTCAGGAATTTATGTTGGAGAGAGAATAATTTTACTTGTGTACCCGATTCATGTGAAATAAATAAACAAATAAATAAGAATAATAATAAAAATAAAAATAAATAGATAAATAGAGATTAAAAGAATAAAAATAAAGGTCGAGTGATTATGAATCAGTTTATGAGAGTAGTTATATTTCACATGATCAGAGTATTATAAAATATTTATGTAATAGACCATTTTTTTCAAGTGTAATATTTTTAATGGAATTTTATTCCAACAAATATTTTCATCGCTATCTCTTTTCATAATCATTGTGATCACCATCTCCAATATCATTATCATCCCTATTCTCCATTGTTATCATCACCTCTTTTCCTACTCATCATCATCATTATCATCACCATCCCTCTCCCTACTCATCTCATCATTATCATTTCATCTTTTCCTAATCATCATTATCATCATCATCATTATCATCACCATCTGCATTGTCATCATCACCCATCTCTTTTCCAACTCATCATCACCATCTATTTCCTACTCATCATCATCATTATCACCACCATCTCTCTCTCCTTAACCATCATCATCATCATCACCATTTCTTTTCCTAATCACTATCATCACCATCCTCTCCTTACTTATCATCATCATTATCCTTACCATATCTTTTCCCTACTCATCATCATTATCATCACATCTCTTTTCATCTCATCACCATCATCCTCTCTCCCTACTCATCATTATTATCATCACATCTCCCTTGTTATCATCACCATCCCTCCCTACTCACCACGCATCATCATCATCTTTTCCCTAATCATTATTATCATTCTCATCACCACCTCTTTTCCTACTTCCCATCATCATTATCACCACCATCCTCTCCTCCTCATCCTCATCATTATCATCATCTCCTTTCCTACTCATCATCATTATCATCACCACTTCTTTTCCTACCCATCATAATCATCTCATTTCCTACTCATCATCATCATTATCATCACCATCTCCATTGTTATCATCACCATCCTCTCCCCTACTCATCAACCCTCATTATCACCATCTTTCCTACTCATCACCATCTCCATTGTTATCACCACCACCCCTCTCCCTCCTCATCACCCTCATTATCCCCACCATCCCCTCTCCCTCCCTCACCATCATCATTTATCCCACCATCCCTCTCCCTCCTCATCACCCTCATTATCACCACATCCCTCTCCCTCCTCATCACCTCATTATCCCCACCACGCTCTCTCCCTCCTCATCACCATCATTATCCCCACCATCCCTCTCCCTCCTCACCATCATCATTATCCCCACCATCCCTCTCCCTCATCACCCTCATTATCACCACCATCCCTCTCCCTCCTCATCACCCTCATTATCCCACCACCTCTCTCCCCTCCTCATCACCCTCATTATCACCACCATCCCTCTCCCTCCTCATCACCCTCATTACCCCACCACCCCTCTCCTCTATCCCCACCACCCCTCTCCCCCCCTAGGAACCCTCTTTATCACCACCATCCCTCTCCCTCCTCATCACCTCATTATCACCACCATCCCTCTCCCCTATTCACCACCCTCTCCCTCCTCATCACCCTCATTATCCCACCATCCCTCTCCCCTCATCATCCCTCATTATCCCCACCATCCCTCTCCCTCCTCATCACCCTCATCCCTCTCCCCCCTAGGAACCCCGACCAGCATCGCCCGTCACCACCACCACCCCCCATCATCATCATCACACCACCATCATCACTACCACCATCATCATCACCATCACCACCACCATCATCACCATCACCACCATCCCTCTCCCTCCTCCTCCCCCACCCTCATTATCCCCACCATCCCTCTCCCTCCTCATCACCACCATCCCTCTCCCTCCTCACACCCTCATTCCCTCTCCCTCCTCATCCCCTCATTATCCCCACCATCCCTCTCCCTATCATCACACCCACCCCTCTCCCCCTCAGGAACCCCGACCAGCATCACATCACCACCATCCCTCTCCCTCATCGCCACCACCCCTCTCCCCCCTAGGAACCCGACCAGCATCACCATCACCACCATCCCTTCCCTCATCACCACCAACCCCTCTCCTCCCTCAGGAACCCCGACCAGCATCGCCGTCAACCCCGCCGACAGCGACCGCTTCCTCCTCGGGCTCGACACGGGGCTGGTCGTTGGTCATAGCCGGAGCGCCACCACCCACGCCATCGCCAGCTACCGGGCCCACGTCGGTTCTGTGGCATCGATCGCGTGGAATCGGTTTGATCGGGAGGTGTTTGGCACCGCAGCTGCCGATTGGACGGTCAAAATCTGGCTGGTTGGGTGTTTGTGAGTGTCTGTGTGTTTTTTTGTGTGTGTTTATTGTTGTTGTTGTTGTTGTTGTTGTTATTATTATTATTATTATTATTATTATTATTATTATTATTATTATTATTATTATTATTATTATTGATTATTATTATTATTATTATTATTGTTATTATTGTTATCATCATCATCATATGCATCATTATTATTATTATTATTATTATTATTATTATTATTATTATTATTATTATTATTGTTATTAGTATCATCATTATTATTTTTATTATTTTATTATTATTATTATTATTTTATTTATTGTTATTTTTATTATTTTGTCTTGTTTGTTTTACTAGGTTAATTTTTCTTGTTTTAATTTCATTAGTCTATTTTTTTCGTATTTTGTGATGCTCTCATTTTTAATAGTTTAATGTTACTGATATCTTTTATTATTGTGTTTCTGTGTTTTTTTACGATATGTTTCTTTGTCTCACTTAATTTTATGTACTGATATTTGATCAATTGATATAGATAATTTATTATTTAATTAAGCTAGAACAACTATTCTTGATAATTGTGATTTTCGTTTCATTCTCCGTCTTCATATTTATTATCATTGCTAATGTCATCAGCATTACCATTATCATTATCATCATTATTATCCTTATAATCATTATCTTTATCTTTATCATTATCGTTATCATCATCATTATCATCTTTTTATCTTTATCTTTACCATTATCATTATCATATTATTATCTTTTTATCTTTATCTTTACCATTATCATTATTATTATATTCATTTTTACCATTATCATTGTCATCATTATCATATTTATCTTTACCTTTACTAATGTCATTATCATCATTATCAACTTTATCATCTTTATTTTTATCTTTAACCATCATATCAACTTTAATCATCTTTATCTTTATCTTTACCATAATTATCATCATTATGATCATTATTATCATCTTTAGCTAATTATGTCTCTCTACTCTTCTTGATTTGATTTAATTCCGTTTTTTAGTTTCATTAAGTATCCTCTTTATTATCTCATTATCATATTTTGTATCTTTTCTTCTGTTTTGTTGTGTTTGTTAATTAATGTAGAATATTAATAAGGATTTCATGATATAAGGATTCAGCTGTTTGATTGGTTGAAATGTCATTTTGTGCTTATTATTATTATTATTATTATTATTATTATTATTATTATTATTATTATTATTATTATTAATTATTATTTATTATTATTATTATTATTTATTATTATTATTATTATTATTATTATATTTTATTATTATTATTATTATTTATTATTATTACTATTATATTTTACTACTAAGTTAATAATAATGATAATATCATGATATAATATTAATATTATTATATAATAGTTGGTTCTTATTATCATTACCATATTATTACATCGCAATTTTTATTACTATGTTGTTATCATTGTTGTGTTATTATTATTATTATTATTGTTATTATTTAATTTTTATTATTAATTGATTATCATATAAATATTATTATTGCTAATATTATTATCATTATTATAATTTTCTTATTATTATTATTGTTATTATCGTTATTATTATTATCTTTTTTTTATTATCGTTATCATTATTATTATTATTATTATTTATTATATTATTGTTATAATGAATGGTATTATTGATATCAGTCATTATTAGATCATCATCATCATTATTGTTATAATATTATTATCATTATCAGTCCTCTAGTATTGTTATCCTGCTGCTTCTGAATCAATTTTCTCGGATTTTCCTGTTTTTTTCTTCTGACGTTTTTTGTTGTTTATTATCAATCGAAGAACGAAGAGATTGATAATTAAACAAAACGAAACACATTACACATCCACGAACTCCATTAACAACGACCCAATCACCCACTCTCGCAATTAAACCCGCAAATCACCGGAAATAAATCTAATAAACTTCACTCCGACTAATTCCACACCCAATTCCAGCACGCCCATCATCATAGTAGACCTCGGTTCCCCCGTGGGCGGCCTGGCGTGGGCGTCCTCCAGCAGCACGGCGTTCGTGGCTGTGACGGATGATGGGCGTGCACACGTCTTCGATATAAGCTTCTGCAAGACGAAGGCGTTGTGCACCCAGCGGCTGCGGCTGCGGCAGGGGCGGGAGGCGGCCCTGTCCTGCGTGGCGTTCAGCCCCTTCGAGCCGGTTATTCTGGTGGCGGGGGAGAGGTGAGTTGGGGGGAAGTTGGGGAAGGGGGGGGGGGTGGGGGGGAGGGGGGAAGGGGGGTGGGGGAGGAGGAGGGGGGGTGGGTGGGTGGTGGGGGAAGGGGAGGAGGGGGGGTGGGTGTTGGTTGGGAGGGGGTGGGGTTGGTGGTGGAGGGAGAGGTGGGTGGTTGGTGGTGGAAGGGGAGGGGGGTGGGGTGGGGTGGTAGGGGAGGGGGGGTTGGTGGTGGAAGGGAGGGGAGGGGTGGGTAGGTGGAAAGGGAGAGGGGTGGGTAGGGTGGTAGGTGGAGGAGAGGGGAGTTGGTGGATGGGTGTTGGCAGAAGAGAAGAGAGAGATCTACCTCTGCAGCGTGGATTCCAACCCTTTTGATTCTGTTAAACTAGTGGCAGGGGATGTTAATCGTTGTTGGCAGTTGGCTGGGATCCCAATTTAGATATTGTCTGTTGGCAGAGAGAAGTTGATGGGGGTTGTGATGCCAACATAAACATTGTGTTTTTTTTACATTGTACATGGGGTACATTGTGTTTTTTTAGCTGAGAAATAGTCGATGTTGGCAGATGGAAAGACAGATGGTTAGAGAAAACATGAAATATGTCACGAAAGTTCGAAAGAAACAGTTCACAGATTTTAAATATAGTTTCGAAAATCAGGGTAAAATCAATAATAAATACGTGTTATCTAGTAAAATATGGTGATACTTTGCAGAATTCCGATCAGAAATTTCCGCAGCAGCTAATCAAATTTAGCAGTTTTTGAAAACCGTTTTTTCCATTCAAGAATATTGAGTCAGAATTGGAAAAAAAGTACTACGATACTTGACATGTTGGTATTTTTTTTTTTATTTGCATATGATATTTTCCCCTCGAAATAATGAGACTAATTCCATCATCAAAATACAGAAAATATAACTTTGCATGTTTGAGCAAAGTGCCATTTCTCGATTTCGACCTTAAATGCTTGTCTTCAAAATTCAACATTTTCATTGAAAGGAAAATAATAATAGTCTTTTATTAATACATTATTTATATTAAGAATTTGCTTTATTTCTACTCCCTGA